GATTTAAAGACTTTACATTGGGTTGGATTTTTGTATATTGTATACAGATTTTGTATATTGATACAAATTTGAGATTATTTTATTAGAACATACTATATATACATTTTTAATCTTGTTCAATGTATTTCACCTATACAACTCACTTAACAATGTAATGTAATTTTCTAGTCCTTGAAAGTTATTATTACCAACTATTTAGGACATAAAGAAATGTAGCTTAGTTGTTAGTCACCTATTACAATGGAACTTGTCATATTAGATATGTTTTCAAGGTCAAACAGATATATTTTAGATAGACAGGTCATCTTCAAACACTTCAGAGATCTACAGAATATGGCATTTAAGATGTTTTAATCACATAGATTTTTTATGCCTATGAGACATGTCTGCTCCTGCTAGCACCAAACTACTTCAGAGAAGATGATGGGCATTGAAAAAACTCCATATAGAGTTTACATTTTTTGTGGCAAAAGTTAGCCACTGGGCAAGAAAGTGACCTTGCCTTGACTGCTGACAGTATGCTGTCCAAAATGGACAAGCAGGACACAAAACAAGTATTGCCAATCCTTGCCAAGATAAGATGGGAAGGCCCTTCAGAATACCCTGCTTCACAAATAAGTCTGTCATCTATGCTAGGCCTATAGGCTGAAGATGGATGTCCCAACATTGCAAAGGAACCTTGGATGACTGTCCAGGCAGCCAGCTATTTTTGTCACTTCTCACAGTTTTTGGAAGTTGCTTGTTTACACTTCCTGCTTACTCAGTAAATATTATTTCCTTCTTGGGTCTCTTAGGGAGTTGAAGACTAGTTAGTTATAGTTTTCCTTGTTAACAAATTCAGAAAAGAAACTCACTAAAGAAGTGTAAAATGTATAAGTTTGAAAGACATCAAAAGGTGTTTTCAATTGGTAATACAAGTTAGGAAAGAAAGTGAATTAGGTACAACATTTTGAACTCACCAAAATATGGTTAAATACTAGAGTATTTTCTCTGAATTTGTCAAATGTTAATGGACTGGACATTGTTAGTTTAATTCTTGACTGTATATATTATATATACTTATTGTATATAGTTTTTCTTATATTTGTTATAACCTTCTTTTATTATTTTAGACAAAAAAAGGGAAATATGGTGATATATTGTGTACCCTAATAAAATTTACTTGAAGATCAGAGGACAGAACAAGCCACTAGATTAAACATAGAGGCCAGGCAGTGGTGGCACACACCTTTAATTCTGGTACTTGGGAGGCAGAGATCCATCTGGATCTCTGTGAGTTCAAAGCCACCCTAGACTACATGAGATTGATTCAGTCTAGGAGAGAAACAGAACCAGGCAATGGTGGCACACACCTTTAATCCCAGCACTTGGAAGTCACAACCTTTAATCCCAGCACTAGGAAGGAAGTGAAATAGTTGGGCAGAGAAAGGTATTTAAGGCGTGAGGAGACAGGAGCTAAAGCTTTTTCAGGCTGAGGAGTCCTAGAGGTGAGACGCGGCAGTGGCTTGTTCCTTTGTCTCTCTGATCTTTCAGCATTTACCCCAATATCTGGCTCTGGGTTTTTTTTTTTTATTAAAAGACCTTTTAGAAATTCTAGCAATAACTATCCGCTAGAATGGCTAGATCTGAAACACTAATAGCACCAAATGCTCTCAAGCACATGGAGCAACAGCATCTGTCACTTGTTGCAGATGATGAAGCGATATGGTGAAGCTACCTAGCAGATGGCTTGGTGACGTGTTTGCAAAGCTAACCATACTGTGGCTGTATGATCCAGCAACTGTGCTCGCTCCATATTCCAACAAGAGTTAAAAAATTACGTTCACACACAATTTTGCATATGGCTGTTTACAGTGATAGCAATTCATAATTGCTAAAACTTGGAAGTCATCTCTGAGTAGATGAATGGTTAAATGCATAGCTGTGCACCCGGACAATAAAGTATTATTCAGTGTTGAAAAAGAGATGAGCTATCAAACCATGAAATGACATGGGGAAAACTTAATGCATGGGACTCAATGAAAGCAGCAACTATGAAAAGTCTACACTGTATGACATCAACCACATGGCGTTCTGGGAAAGGCAGAAGCCCTGGGTGTGTTGGAAGGATTAGTGGTTGTCACGGGTAGGATCAACTGGGGAGCAGGAGGGGCCTTAGGGCCATGAAACTCTTCTGCTTGACACCATAATGGTGGGTCCATGTCATTATGCATCTGTGAAAACTGTCTGAATCTAAGAGTGAAGGCTGATACACTTCAGGTGGTAATGATGTATCACCACAGGTTCAGTTGTAATACACGTGCCACACTCTTGGGAGATGATCGTACTGCAAGGAGCACTGGAGAATGAATTCTCTGTGCTTTCTTCCTAATTTTTCTGTGACCTTGGGATGACTCTAAAAATAAGTCAATTTTAAAATGAGAAAATTAGAGAGCTGGAGAGATGGCTCAGAGGTTAAGAGCACTGACCGTTCTTCCAGAGGACCTGAGTTCAATTCCCAGCAACCACATGGTGGCTCGCAACCATCTGTAAGGAGATTTGTTGTCCTCTTCTAACATGCAGGCAGAACACTGTATACATAATAAATAAATACATCTTTAAAAAGTAAGAAAATAAAACGAGAAAATTAAACTAAATTGCTAACAACAAAAGCAAGTGGGCACTCTGAAGCCTTTCTTCCAGAACAGCCTGTTATGGGCCCTACAAAAATTTCTCACCTCTTCTTGTGTCTTCCCAGCTTCAATGTCCTTTCTTCTTTGTTCAACCACACCCAATTAAAATTAACAATTAAAATTTTTCTTTCTGCCTGGTGTGGTGGTGCACACCGTTAATCCCAGCACTCTGGAGGCAGAGATAGGTGGATCCCTGAGTTTTGAGGCCAGTCTAGTCTACAGAGCAAGTCCTAGAACATCCAGGGGTACACAGAGAAACCCTGTCTCAAAGAACCAAAAAATAAAATAAAATGTAATAATTTTTTTACATGCACACATTACAACACACATGTGGAGGTCAGAGGACAACTTTTGGGAGTCAGTTTTCTGCTTCCACCATGTAGGTTCCGAGGACTGAGCTCAGGTCGTCAGCCTTGGTGATAAACACCTTCTCCAGCTGAACCATCTGGTCAGCCCTTCGGCCTCGTGCAGAAGACCGTTCTTTCTTCCTTCCTTCCTTTCTTTCTTTCTTTCCTCTTCCTTCCTTCCTTCCTTCCTTCCTTCCTTCCTTCCTTCCTTCCTTCCTTTCTTCCTTT